AAATAAAATCTTTAAAAAAAAAAAAAAAAAGAATATACTTTTAACACTGTAATAGGCTGTGCATATTTTCATTCTGGGTAGGGATGGTTATTATTGTTTTTAATTTTTAAAATCCCCCCTGCACATATCTAGGGCCTGGCATTTAGTACTATTTTATCTAAAGTTACAGGCCCACCTGACACCCCTGTCTCCTTCCCTGCTTTATTTCTCTCCGTAGCGCTTATTGCTGTCTAATATGCTCCACATTTTCCTCATTGTGTTTCTTTTTTTTTATAATTTTATTTATTTATTTTTATTTTTTTCCCCCAAAGCCCCAGAAGATAGTTGCATGTCATAGCTGCACATCCTTCCAGTTGCTGTATGTGGGACGCGGCCTCAGCATGGCCGGAGAAGCAGCGCGTAGGTGTGCACCCGGGATCCAAACCCGGGCCGCCAGCAGCGGAGCGCGAGCACCCAACCACTAAGCCACAGGGCCGGCCCATCTCATTGTGTTTCTTGTCTGTCTCCCCCACCAGAATGTACATTCCATGAGGGCAGGATTTCGTCTCTCTTGTTCCTGCTGCAACCCCAGCACCTAGAACAATGCCTAGCCCTCAAATGGTATTTGTTCAATGAACAAAGGAATACTTGATAAGTATTTGGAGAATAAGTAAACGAATGAACAAATGCATGAATAAGTGAATTGATTTAGGGCCACAGCCTCGTGTGTTCTCATCCATCCCAAAGACCCAGCTTTGTCGCTGGACCCACCACCAAGACCCCAGCACTGACTCTGAGCCATTCTTCCCTCTTGCCCCAGGTGTCAAATGTGGCGGTGTGCTCTCTGCGCCTTCCGGAAACTTCTCCAGCCCCAACTTCCCCAGGCTCTACCCCTACAACACGGAGTGCAGCTGGCTGATTGTAGTGGCCGAGGGCTCCTCCGTGCTGCTCACCTTCCATGCCTTTGACCTGGAGTACCACGACACCTGTGGCTTCGACTTCCTGGAGATCTACAACGGGGCTTCGGGAGACAAGGGCAACCTGCTGGGGAGGTTCTGCGGCCAGGTGCCCCCGCCGCCCTTCACCTCCTCCTGGCATGTCATGTCTGTGGTCTTCCACTCCGACAAGCACGTGGCTAGCCGCGGCTTTTCCGCAGGCTACCAGAAAGGCAAGGGGACTTGGCAGGGGAGAGAGTGGTCCTGGGTGGAGGTCAGGGAGAGCAGCAGGGCTGAGGGGAGACTGGCAGGGTCTCAACATGCGGGCTGCTCCGTCATGGGGTGCCCCTGCTCTCGGGGCTCATGGAGCACTGGCAGCTCCGCCTGTGGTCTTGGTAGTTGTGGGCTCCCCCCTTCACGGCAGCACTCCCCACGTCTCGCTCCGTTATTCCTGGGGCCCCTGAGCGTCTCACTGTGCTCAGGAACGAGGCCTCTCATGCTCTTCTATCCTTGTCCTTCTTACCCCGTGCCATGGCGTCAGGACACAGCAGGGGACACCGTGCTGCCACTGCTGCTGACCCCTCTGTGGCAGCCCATCACTTCACAGGCACTGGGCTCCCACCACGCCCCCCCGAAGTCCTCAGGAGTGGAAGGTGCACCAGGGCTGTGTGGAGCTGGTGACGCTCTCCCTCCCAGAGCCTTTCCTGAACTCGCCTCTTATTTTGCGGGTCCCTAACGCCTCCCTCCCTCAACCAGGCTTGAACCTGCCCCTCAGTCTAGTGAGGAAGGAGATGCCTTGCTCTCCTTGGCTCACTCCTCCTGTCCTCAGGCTTCTTTGCGCAGACACAAACCTCCTCCCTTCTCCCAAGGCCGAGACCAAAGGCCTTTCCCGTCAGCTCAAGCGATAGACACCCACAGAGGCTCCTGGTGCACAGGGCCCGCCAGCAGCAGTGGGCACTCAGGTGGACACCGCTCCTGCTGGCGTTAGAGGCCTGGAATTGTGGAATGCTAAACCACAGAATCACAGACTGATCTCATCGTAGTTTTGGAATTTTAGACCTTCAGATTTTTAGAATGTTAGGACATCAAAGTCCTAATACAATGGACAATGTTTTCCAACATGTTTTAAAGCAGGAATATCCTTATAGCAAATGGACCCTTGTGTTAATCCCTGACATAAAAAGAGATAAAGGCAGTATTTTAGTGGTGTGCATTTATTTTTAACGTTTACTTATTATAAGTCAAACACAGGTCAGTATTGATGGCCTCCAGTGAGTTAAATTTTTACACATAAGGCATGTGACTGTGGATGCTGTCTTTCATTGCATTAAAAAATAGTTTGAAATACAACATAAGAATGAAGTTTGCACAGTTACCTGCAGATAGATGCCCCAGGGAGCCGCTGGAGCCCCAGAGCACAGTTTGAAAGTCTCTGCTAAGGGTGTTAGCATTGGAAGGGATTTCACAGACTGTCAAAACCTGCCCTCTCATTTCACAAGCAATAAACCTGAGATCAGAGAGGGGATGTGCCTTCCCGAGGTCACACAGCTTGGAGGCGGAAGTGCTGGGACAACAAGTCAAGTCCTTAGCCGCCCAGAGCAGTGCTTCATTCACACAGCCATGCCATGGGGCGAGACTCTGGAGTCTCAGGAAGTATATCCTGAATGTGCCCCTCTCTGCTGGTGGCCTCCAGCTAGTCACAGAGTTCATCGTCACCCACCTCCTGGTTGTATTGATTGCTCCGGCTTCCAAAGGGCTTTCACCAGTGTCTTCTCAGACTCGGCACGAGTCTGGGTCTGGTAGATCAGGCTGGGCAGGTCTTATGATTTCTCATATTCTCATGAGGCTCAGAGAGGCTGGGTTACTTGCCCAGGGTCACACAGCTAATAGAAGACAGAGCTGAGAAGACACCTGTCTTCAGACTTTAAGCCCATCTCTCCTTCCTCAGATCCTTTCTCTAAGCCTCAGTTTCCTCATCTGTTAGGGAGGTTTGATTACATTCCTGCACTCAGACACCACAGCCTCTGTGCCCCACTGGCCTGCTAGGAGTGGACAGTGAGACTCACAAGGTCAAGGGCACGGGCTCTGCAGCTAGTCCTCCTGGGTTGGGACCTGCTCTCCTAGTTACCAGCTGGGTGACCTGCTGTCAGGGCCCTGCCCACGTCCCCTGGACCTTACCACTTCAACGGCTCCTGCCAACCTCTGCATCTCTTTGCTTGAGGGCTTGTTCCGAAGTCTTGGCGGGTCACGTCTACCGCCCGCAGCCCTTGGCCTGATTCTGGGGAGTTGGTGTATGAATGCCTCGGCTCTCTCACCCCCTGCCTGGGGTCCCCATCTCTCCCAGATACACTCCTTGTGTGCAAATCCTTGTCTCAGTGTCACACGGGTAAGTTACTGAACTTCTCGGTGCCTCCATTTTCTCAGCTGTGAAGTGGGAGAAACCACCGCACTTTCCTCTAGGATTATGGCAGTGATGTAAAAAGACAGCATAGGCACCGAGTGCCGGGCTTGTACCTGCCACTTAGCAAGCGCTCAGTGGGTGGTGACGAGGTTCCATGAGATACCTGTGGGAGCAACGCTTTAGGAGTGTCTGGTTCCCCAGGGAGGAGGTCGGGGAGCCGCTGGGAGGGAGAAAGTTCAGTTCAAGGGCCTCCTTTGCAGATATGTGTGGCGGTGTCCTGACGGGCCTGTCGGGGGTCCTCACCAGCCCTGAGTACCCCAACAACTACCCCAACAATGTGGAGTGCCGCTGGGTGATCCGGGCCGCCGGCCACGCCACCGTCAAGCTGGTGTTCGTGGACTTCCAGGTGGAGGGCAACGAGGAGTGCACCTATGACTACGTGGCTGTGCTCGGGGAGCCCGGCCCTGCCCGCGGGCACCACTACTGTGGCAGTGCCAGGCCCCCCACCCTTGTGTCATTGGGCCACGAACTGCAGGTGGTCTTCAAGTCCGACTTTAACATCGGAGGCCGAGGCTTCAAGGCCTACTACTTCTCAGGTAGGAGGGGTGGAGCCGCGCCCCCGCCCCTGTGCACTCTGGGCTCCTGCCTCCTTGTTAGGCATGCAGGGGTCACACTTTCCTGCCCCTGGGCTGTGCGCTTCCTGATCTCTCTCTGCCTGGAATGCTCTAGCACACCCTTCCCTGCCTGGCCATTGTCAAGGCATAAGAATGTCACCTCCTCCGTGAAGCCTTCCTGATTCATTCAGAAGTAATCCCTTCCTTCAACTCCTAATAGAAGTTTTTTCACAGCAATGATCTAACACATCATTTCTGTATGTGGTTTGCATGTCCATCTCCCCAGCCTAACTGTGAGTTCCTATGGGCTTATCTTTGTACCTGCCACAAAGTAGGTATTCAGTTAACATTTGTACAAATGAATGAATGAACCCTTGGGGAGTTCACCATCTAGTGGAAGAGATGGAAAAGGAAACAGACAATGACAACCCACTGTGACCTATACTATACAGTGAGAATCATGGATGACTTCCTGGAGGAGGAGAGAATTGAGCAGTGTTTTGAAGGAGTTAGCCAGAGGCAGAAGGAAAGGAAGGCTCTTCCAAGCAGAGGGATCAGCATGTGCAAAGACATGGAGGACAGAGAGGGTTTGGTGTGCTTGTAGTGCTAGGCGTTTGGTGAGGCTGGAAGGTGGGGGTGGACGAGAGGCAGTGAGAAAAAGGGAAGGTCAGGCCATGAACCACCTTGTCTGTCACGTCCAAGTTTGGACACAACTCTGAGGACAGGTGTTATGTATTGATATTGAGTTCCTAACAGGGCCAACACTCATGAAGGGGATTGCCCACTGGAGAGTCCCAGCTTTTTGCTAGTTTCAGTTTAAAGCAGGCTTTGGGATCGATTGTCTGCTTTGCTGGCCACGATGCCCGCAACCTGCTAGGGTGGCTCGAGGATGCCTTCAGCACCCGCAGCCCAAGCTGTAGCTGCAGAGGGTGACAGTCCCCACCCTTCTCCCCACTGCTCCTTGTCCCCCGCTCTCCCCGCCCCAGGAGAATGCCAGGAGGTGTACACGGCCGTGCGGGGCAACTTCTCCAGCCCACAGTACCCCAGCTCCTACCCCAACAACATCCGGTGCCACTGGACCATCCGCCTGCCTCCTGGCTACCAGGTCAAGGTGTTCTTCCTGGATCTGGACCTGGAGGGGCCCAACAGCCTGACCAGGACCTGTGACTTCGACCATCTGGCGGCCTTCGATGGGGCCAGCGAGGAGGCGCCCCTGCTGGGGAGTTGGTGCGGCCACCACCTGCCACCGCCCGTCACCTCGAGCCGCAACCAGCTCCTGCTTCTGCTGCACACGGACCGCAGCACCACCCGCAGGGGCTTCTCTGTGGCCTACATTGGAGGTCAGCTGGGGTGCAGGGTGTGGATGTGCTGGTGGGGGAAGGCGAGACAGGGGGCCCCGGTCTTTGCAGCCTCCTTCCTCCATCCCATCAGCTGTCCAGATCCCCACGCATGGTCTCCCCCGTCCTCTTCTCCCGTGGCTACACTGCTGCCGACTCCTGCCCTGGGACGTTTGCCACCAATGTGGCCATTGCTTATTTCTACTCTTGGGGGCCCCTACCTTTCTAGCTTCCAAATCTCTGATCCCTGACCCCTCCCTACTTGGCTCCTTCCCCCATGGGCCCCTGGCCTGTCTTGTACTGTGGTTGATCCTCTGTATCCAGGGGTAACATGCAAAATATGGTAATATTGTTTATGGTATTGGTATAACATTGGAGATGCTGACCTGCCTTCTTATGTCACTCAGAAATCCTGCTGACAGTGGCTTGAACAAATGGCATTTGTTTTTCCTCACATAACAAGAAGTCTGGAGCTAGGCAGCTGCTGTGTTGATTCAGGCATTCAGTATTGTCCCAGTTGATCTCTCTGGAATCCTCTTGGCCTCATTACTGCAAGATGGCTGCCACAACTCCAGGCATCGTGTCCATGTTCTAGGCTGGAAGCGAGTAGGAGGGTTGCCAACCACAAATGTCCCTTTATCAGGAAAGCAAAAGCATTTTCAGAAGCCCTCAAAAGACTTCTTCTTGGTCTTACTGGTTTGAACTTGGTCGGATGGCTATGCCTGCCATAGCTGCAGAGGGGTCTGGGGCAGCTGGTATTTGGCTTTTCCAGCCTCCATAGAGCCAGTTAGATTTGTCAACTGACAGTGTCCACCATCTCTCCCCCACTGTGACCCCCCTTCCTGGGCCATGGGCCCAGAAATGCCTGTGCTCTGGACCCACTTTGCCCTCTGCCTGCCCAGGCTAAAGCTCCTCATTGTGCAGGTGTGGAAACAGAGATGCAGAGAGAGGAAAGGACGTCACTGCAGTCACACGGGCTCAGCCAAGACTAGAGCTCATCCCCCTGCCTTCTTGTGTGGCTGAGCAGGGCCTGGGAGAGGGGGCCCAGGGCTGAGCTCAGACAGACCAGAGCCACATCCAAATACTGCCATTTACTGACCATCCAGGTGGGCTCATCTGTGACAGGGGTTGATGGATGCCCCAGCCAGGCAGTCGTTAAGAGGAAACGAGGTAACGAGGTCACAGTGTCTGGCTACAGGGACATCTTTGCTGAGGGTGGAATTCTCTCCTCCATGTGTCTCAGGCCTGTCCTGCATTCAGAAGCCCTTTCCTTGTTCCTTACCCCATAAGCAAGGGGAGTTGGGGTCTGAGCGATGGGGAAGCAAACAGTGGAGCTGCAGTAAAGCTCACTGCACAACGTGGCCTGGGCAGACCCACCCTCGCTGGGCCTCAGTCAGCTCCATCCATAAACTGGGAGGGGCGCTGTCCCTCTCTTAGAGCTGTCCTCTTCTTGGATTACATTCCAGAGAGCCAGGTGCCCTCGAGGTCTGTCACAGCTAGCTGGCAAGTCACTTTCTCTCTGTGGGTCTCAGTTTTCCCACCTGTAAAATGAGGACATCGGCTGAAGGGTCTTTAACATGCCTTTTGGCTTGGAGAGTCTTACTGCCAGGCCTGGGTCCTCTCCCAGCTCTCGGTGATCGTGGACAAGCCCCTTCTCCTTTTGGTGCCTCCAGAGATGGAGGGCGGGCAGCTCTAATCCTGGCTTCTATTCCAGGAGCTTCAGTGCAGGAGCCCCCGTCCCTCCCCGACCCACCTTCTTCCCTAGATCCCTGTGGGAGCCCAGGGTCAGACGGGGGCACTCGAGGCTCCAGATGTGGCCCAGGCCGTAGGCGGCCTCTGGTTGGAGAACAGTCTCTGCATCAATCAGGGGTGACACACAGTTCAGCGCCACCGAGATCATCGTGGGAGACGGCGGGCCCATAAATCCCCGACTGCCCAGACACCAGAGGCTGAAATATGTCTGAGGCATTTCCCGGAGACGGGTTGAGAGTTCCAGGACTCTGCCTGCCAGCTCTTTCCTTTTTCTCCCACCAGTCACCCCTTCCTCTCCCCTGCACTCACCCCTGCCCCAGCAAGCACTGCCCCCCATGCATGCACGCACACACACGTGCACACACATGCATGCTCGCACAAACCCCGACACTTAGAGTCACACCGTCCTGGCTGGAATGGGTGCAGGGGACCCCCTTTAGGGTGGAGAGGCCACCAACTTTGGAATCCTATAGACTCACTGGTTAATATCCCAACTCTGCCACTGCAGACAACTTCACCTCTCAGAGCTTCAGTTTCCAAAACTGTAAAATAGGTTTAGTCACGTCCACCTCGTCATGGGGAGAGTGAGGCTTCCTCCACCACCCTTTTCAAAACTGCAACACCCCCCAAACACGTTCCACTCTCCCTGTCATTCTTCTTTGCTTGATTTTCCCTGAGACCACTCTGACCCTAGGTGTCTTTTACATATTTATTGTTCCCTCGCCCAACTAGACCGTAAGCCACGTAAGCCACGAGGGCAGGAATTTGTGGCTGTTGTTTTCTTTCTGTTGTTGTGTCTGTGGTGCTTAGAATAGTGCCTGCACATAGTAGGCCATCAATAAAAATTTGTTAAATGATTGAATGAATTGCCTGACACATGGCCAAGTGATCACAAACAGAAGCTTTTATTATGATTAAGAACATTCATTCATTCATTCATCATTCACTGCGCCTGCCAAGGTCTGTGTGGGGCTCAGAGGACCCTGAGAAGTGGGCATGGTCCTGCTTTGGGGAGCTCACAGTCTGATGGAATTAAATGGGGGAAGACATGGAAAACATCCCCTAGGATGGCGTGAGAGCCATCCCCACTCTGGGCCTCGGTTTCCCCATCCATATCCCTTTTGGGGGGGCCTGGGGGAGGTGGGGGTCAGACAGCCTGCCCCTAAGGCCTCCAGCTCCTCCCTCCTGTCCCCAGTGGTGCCCGTGAACGTGAGCTGCTCCCGCACGGACTTCCAGATCTTGATCTCCGCGCAGGCGCTGGCCCCGCTGGAGCGGACCAAGGTCTACCTGGGCAGCCGCAGCTGTGCCGCCCAGGAAGTCGGCAGCACCTTCCGGATCCAGGCCCGCTTCGACACCTGCGGCACTGAGTCTCAGGTATGGGCTGGGGGGAGGAGGGCAGGCACAAGGGAGGGGCTCTGGCCTTGCTCAAAGGCTCCTGCCCTTCTGGAGAATTCCACTTCTCTTCCTGGATCCAGTGAGCACACAAGCCTGGATGTAGAATTCAGCCCTTCTTGGCTTTACCTCAACAAACTCACTCAGTGTAGATGCAGCAAAGAACTCATATCGGGGAGACAGAGAAGGGGGGTCCCACTGCACCCCAGTGATGACCAAAAGCCCCTGTGGGAGGCTCCTCCACAAGGAGGTTTTCCTCACTGTTCCCCGCTTCTCCCTGGAGCTGCCCAGGGCCACCCAGTCCTCACCCCTCTATCATGCAGAGCTGTCTGAGCTGTGCTCGCCTCCTGCCCGCCCCTTCCCCAACCTTGTAACCCAAATCCGTCCCTGGGCTCCGCAAAACAAAAGGGCCCTTCAAGTAGCAGGGTCCACCTCCCTGCAAAGGCGGCAAGGCTTACAAGTGAGTTTTCTCTACCGTCCTTCTATTTTGGAGGCCATGAACCCAGGCTTGGGGCCCTCAGAGTCGCTGGGCAGCAACCCAAGCACCTGGACATTTGTATTCTTAGGGACAAGTCCGGAAGGGGGAGAGGGAAAGAAGGAAGAGTGGCCTCTGTCAGGGAGACTCCCCAGCCTTGGCATCCGGGGATTTGCCAGACTGGCTTGGCAGAAGTCACGTGCTTTCCAGCAAATTGTGCTCCCCCCACCGCAACAGTAGCCGAATGCATGGCCCTGGGCTCTCCAGTCCACCCTCGGCTTCCCCAGCCTCCTGGCAGCCTCTCAGGCCTTTTGCCCTGAGAAGAGGAGAGGTGGGGATCAGTCTTGGCTGCCAAGATAATCTGCCCTCACCCCACTGCATGCCCTAAATCCCCCGGGGATTTTCTTTGGGACAGAACCACATTCCATAGTCATGAAATGATGGAGACAGAGAGTCCCAGAAGCAGGGAGTCGTGAAATCTAGAATGAAGGAGTCAGACACTCTGAGTCTCGGACTCACGGAACCATCACCAGAACTCGGAACCACAGAATTATGGAATCTTGGCGTCAATATCACGGAAACATAAAAGCTGAGCGCCTTAGGCTCATGGATTCCTCATGTAACCCTTCTAAGTCCTAGACCCACGAGCACCAGTCTCTGCATTGAGTTGCAAAGATGCACAGCTCAGACGGCCCAAAGCAACAAAAAAAGCAACGACAACCTTTCTGTGCGTCTCTTAGAAGACATTAGAGACTTGATTTCATAACCATAACACCACATTTTGTGTGGCCTGTCTTGCCTCCTCAAGTCTCTCACTTGTCAAAAACCCCTAAAACTTTCCCCCACCCCACCCCATTTTATGTGATTTTTCTCTCCTTCTTTGTTATGTAGATTCACTTCGACCCTCTCCCTGGGTCCCCTTCCCCTCTCAGCTCCTGTCTTTCTTTGCCCAGTGTCCTGATTCTGTATCACAAAACTCCAGGACACCAGTTCTTCTCAGAGGGTGTGGGAGCCGACAGGCTGAGGACACAAATGCAGAGGCTCCTCTGGGGACGTGGAATCTGAGCCTTTTGGAAGCCCAGAGTTGAGAGAGACCCGCAAGATCACCTGGGCCACAAAATTCCAGATCTGTGACTGCCCTTCACACCCTTCCCCAAAGGGGCTGCGCGTCTCCAGTGCTGGCAGCCTCCTGCTGTTCATGCTCACTCTGTTTTAGGCAGTGTCGAATTTTAGAAGCCTCATCTCAGAAGTGCCACCCACTGGACGGGGCAGTTGGGCAGCCTAGGGAGTGTAAGAGCTGCAGCGGATTTGGGGGGGTGGGGAGAGCAGCCTGGCACCGCTGTGGCCCCCCACTCCAGACCACACCAGCCTGCCCATCAACATGCTGCCCCTCAGCGCCCGGCCGGAACACCCCACTGTCTCAGGGCAGCTTGACTCCTGCCTCCCTCACCTGTGGGGGTGGGGAAGACAGCAGCGTGTCAGGCCCCTCCACAGCTCGCTCCTCAACGGCTCCTCCCGACCTTAGGATGGTGCCACTGGGGTGACCAGGGACTCGATAGCAGCGACACAAAATGGCTGTAGACATAATTGGGAGAAAAGATTCCAGAAGGAAGGTCACATAACACCAGGGACAGAGTTCCTAACTGGCAGGCAGAAGACTTGGCTTCTGGGCCTAGCTCAGGGCAAGTCATCGCCCTTGCTGGGCCTCAGGAGTCACATCTGTAAACTGCCAAGGAAGGGGGCTTGAACCAGGTGCTGTGAAGGTCCCTTCAGTTCTGTGTTCTTTGGTTTGAGTGAGGTGTGATGGCTAAGAGCACAGTCAAGAATCGAGCAGATCTGGGTGAGAATGTGTCTTTGTCACTTGTGTGCTGTGTGGCCTCAAACAAAGGATTTAACCTCCAGGCCTCCGTTTTCTCATCTGTAAAATGGGGGTATTTATGGTACCAATAAGGGACAGTTGTGAGAATTAAATCAGATAATGCACTTAAAATACATAGCCTGGAAAATAGCAAATGTCCCCCGAATGTCCCTGTCATTGTTATTACTGTCTTTCATAGACCCTGCTTCCTTGCAGCCAGAGCAAACATTGGTCCATCAAATCTGACATCGTCCTTCCAGATAGCCCACTCTCCTAGTACCACCCTTTTACAGATGGGGTCTGCGAGAGGGAAGGGAGTCAGTGGCTGAGCTGGGACTAGAACCCAGGCTCCTGGGGCTCTGCCCCTGGCACTGAGCCCCCACATATGTAGGAGAACAGGGTCAGGCCTGGCCCCTTCAGGTGTGAGCGAGTGCCCTGTGACCCCACAGAGAAGAAACAACACTTCCGTGATCGTCAGCGTGCTGTACATCGACTTCTCAGCTGGTGGACGGGAGGACATCCATGAGTACGAGGTCCGCTGCGAGCCACGGCGCAAGGAGGCTTCTGTCCACCTTCTGTCTGGCTCCGACTGGCTTGGGCCCTATGCTGCCGCAGCCGAGCACCTTCAGGAAGCACCACCCAGGGATGAGGTGGAGGCACCGGAGGGCCCTGTGGCCATGGTGGCCCAGGACACCAGTGACATCGTCTTCCTGGTCCTTTGCATCCTGGCTGGGGTCCTCATGGTCATTGCCATCGTGGTCCTGATGCTGCTGTGAGCAGGCAGGGTAGGGACTTGGCATCTGGCATCCTTGGGAGGCAGCTTGAGACCCCACAACAGGGATGGGACCAAGCCTTGCTTGTTGACTTGTTGGTGACCATGGGCAAGTCACTGTCCCTCTTTGAGCCTCAGTTTTCTAGGGACAGTACTCTGCCCTGCCTATCTCACAGGGCTGGCGTGAGGCTCAGAGAAGAGCATGAATGAATGAGAGCTCTGTCAATTATAGCATGCCATTATGTCTATGCAGTTGTTGTTGTTATTAATTTTAAAGATATAAAAGAACTCCCCTGTGTGCGTCACTTCTCAGTGTGGATAGTTGTGGTCACTGGTGACAGAGTGGATAAAGCTGACTCATTCTGTAGCTTGTAAGAGTGCTTCACCAAGTCAGGGTACAAAATAAGGGCGCTTCTTATTTTTCCAACTAATTGCTCAGCCCAAGCCTTCGTTAGCAGGAAGTTCAGTGTCCATCCAGGGGCCTCTGCTCTCCTGAATTGACCCAGGAACCCTGAGGATCTCATCTAAAGCAGCCCAGTCCTGCCTCCAAACTCCGGAACAGAGAGAAAGGGAGCTGGAAGCCCGTCTGGAGCTGTCGTTTAAGCCCCTGCCACACGGTGTCGCTGTTGAAGACTGGTCGTGTGCATCCTGGTGGATGCCTGTCCATGAGGTGGCGATGCCCTGCTGGGTCAGATCCCTATGTAAACCACAGGCAGACCCACACTGTGCTCAGTAGGGAGGCTGGTGTCTCTTTCATGTCAGAATTTTTCCTTAAATATCTTGTGATCGTTGACTGAAAAGTTGAAGTTCTTTGTGTCTCTATTCTCACCCCTGGTGGGCTGAGACCACCAGCCCACCCTTCCCCTCCAGGTGAGTTCTCCTGGAGCCCTCTGGACCCTCTCCTGCCATTGGGCTTCACTCAGAGCTCCTCCAGTCCACCCGCATTTTCTAAGTTCCCCCCACAGGGAGGCAGGCTGGGTTCCCAGTGCTTCCCTGGGAGGAGGCTTCTGGCGTCCTTATGTGAATTGTCCATTCCTCCCAGAGCTCCACATATCAAGAAGTGGAGCAATCTTGTTAATGAAAAATAAACAAAAAATACATTTATAATACACCACTTTCCCCTGCTCACCTTTATATTTGCATAATGAATCATTCAAGCGAGTCCTTCCACAATAACAGAAATCTTTAAAATGACCTTGCTGACCTCTGGGATCAACTTACAAAATTGTAGCCCAATTACAATTCCTTCGCCAACTCAGCAAACATCCTCTGGTGTCCAGCTTTGTGCCTGTTGCTGTGACGGGCTCCAGGCATACAGCAGCGAGTAAGTCGAAGGAGATTCCTGCCTTCCAGATGCCTACAATCCAGGGGAGCAGAATCAGGGACAGCGAGGGCCGACCAGTTGGTAACTTGCAGAGAAAAGAACTAGAGAGAAGAGAGCCAACAAAGTAAGAAATGAATTATGCAGGGGAAAAGAGTTGCCTGGATGTTAGAACTGGGCTCAAGTCCGAGCTCTCCTCCTCATTAATTGTGTGAGCCAGGCAAGTCACTTTGATTCTACAAGCCTTGATGTCTCCACCTGCAAAATGGGACCATTGTTCGTAGCTGACCGTGAGGAGGCAGCAACACGATGAATTAGGGAAGTCTGTCAGGGTAATGAACGTGACAGCAGGAGAGTCTTGACCGCTACCCTGGGGTGCTGGAGCAGAGGCACCTTCTGCTTTCTCTCCCACCCACCTTCTTGCACTCAGACTCCTCCAGCCACTGAGCAGGCCACCTTCGCCAGCCTGCATTGTGTACACCTCGGGAACTCCCTGGGGCTCAGTTTCCCTGTCTGGGCAGGACTGGACACAAACCAGATACTCTCTGAAAGCACCCTTGGGGTTCTGCCCTCGTGGACCCATGGGTGGGCTTTGGGGTGCAGGTGGCCTTGTCCATGTCAGCTCAACAGGGTGGGGAGACAATAGCCCAGCCTGTGCCAAGCCTGATTCCCAAAGCTGAGTGTGTGTGTGTGTGTGTGTGTGTGTGTGTGTGCATGCACACGCGTGCACATGCCCACATGTGGGAGAGTTGGGTGTCTTAATCCCTCCTCTCAGCAGCTGATCCTCGAGAGCCACTTCACAGAGGCCAGGGCTCTGGCGCTGCAGCCAGACCACCTAGGGTTTAAGCCAGGCCACCAGGGCTCTACTACTTGCCAGCTGTGTGACCTTGGGCGGGTCACCTCATCTCTTTAAGCTCAGCCTTCTTACCTGCAAAGTAGGGGTAATAACAACACCTCCTTCATCATTCATTGTGGGGATTAAGTGAGATAAAGCGTGACAGTGCCCAGCTCACAGGAAGGCTTCAACAAAACTCAGTTATTGCCACTGACCTGTGAGTCCATAGTCTAGGCCCAGCTTTGCCCCTAACTTGCTGTGTGACCTTGGGGCAGCCCATTCCCTTCTCTGGCCTCAGTTTCCCTGTTTTCAAAATGTGACAATTGTCATTATCACCTCCAGCACCGTGACTGCCATAGCTACCAGCTCCTAAGCACCGACTACATGGCAGGTGTCTTGAGATGTGACATCTCACTTCAGCCACCTTGTGAGGCAGACATAACAGCCCCCATTTTACAGATGAGGAAATTGAGGTCCGGGGAGGAAAGTGCTGTGCCCAAGGTCACATGGCTACGCAACGTTGAAGCTAGGCTGAGAGGAGGTGGTTCCCCCCGAGATGGGGGGACTAGGCAGCGAGCTGGGGCCTCTTGGGGTCCCAGGCCAGTGCTCTCAAATGTGAGGGCTGTGTCCAGTTGGGGAAGGACCAGAAAGGCAGCGAGAGAGAGGATGGTTTTATCTTCACGGGCGTGCCCAGATCCTACCATTCCCAGCACTCCAGGCAGCTGGTATGTTGATTATCTGGCGTGAGTCGCGGGAAATGACTGTCTTTACAACAGCACAGTGTCTTTTAGAGATGAGAGGGCTGAAATGATACCCATTAGCCCACACGCCCTGGCCCTGAAGGTGTCAGGGCACGGTGGGCATAGCGGCGTGGCGCGGCTTTCCTGCTCACCTACCAATTTCCCCTTTTCCGAGAGCGGGGGGGCTATGGAAAGAGCGGGCTTGAAGCCCAGCTCCCTCCCCATCGGCTTTGTGGCCTTGCGACATGGCTACCCCCTGCCAGGCACTTCCGGTCCCGCTGCCAGCCTGTCCCTGTAAGGCCGATGATACCGATGAGGAAGTCCTTGACAAATGGATGTGCTGGCCTGGGGAAAACATCCTCTGGGCTGCAGGCAGACCTGGGTTCATTTCTAGCCTTTCTCTGACTCAGTGTGACCTTGGGCGGGTTGCTTAACCTCTCTGAGCCTCAGTTTCCTCGTGTGTGGAATGGGGATAGAAAGACCTTCCTCACAAGGTCATTGTGAGGACTGAGAGAAGATGGGGAGAGCGCCCCACACGGGCAGGATTCAGGAAGTGGTTGGCTGGTGGGCCCTGGCCCTGCACCGGCTTCCCTGAGGAGGGCAAATCTCAGAGCTGGAAGGGGCCTTCCAAGAAAGCAAGGCCCTACTTCTCTGTCTCCTACGAGTCTCCCCTGCGCTCAGTCTGCCCGGCCTCCGGCCTCCCCGCTGACCTTCAGTAGACGGAGGTCATCCCCCAGGCTTTGTCTCGCCTGGTCCCTCCGTGTGGAGTGTGCTTACACCAGAGCATCGCCGGGCCTGGCTCCTCATGTCCTTCTCTGCCCGATGGCCCCCGACCACGTGTGTAAAGCCTCACCCCCAGCCCCGTCACTTCGCACCCCTTTGCCTTCTTCCTTCATAAAGCGTGTCGCCGTTGGAGATGGTGTGAGGTGTGTGTTTGCGTGTGCAGCTTCACGCCCGCTTCCCCTCGCTCGGAGGCCGGCTCCCTGACGGCAGTCTTGGTCTTGCCCGCCCTGCCGCAGCCTGGCACGCGGCCGTCAGTGAGCATCTGTGGTTGACTGCGTGAAGAGACGAGGAATGGAGGGGTGAATTCAACACCGTGCCACTCACTCAGCCCCAGGTGTGGGCAGCGTTGGTACTTTGGTGCAGTTGCGCGTCGAGGCCATTTCCCACGTGTGTCTCTGCACGGAGATGCCGCCGCCTCTTTTCAGGAGCTCACCGTCTGGGGAAGAACCAGCCCTCAGGCACACAGTGCTCGATGGGACCCCAGAGGGCAGGGAGCCTGGCCCCACTCTCCTCCCACCCTCCAGTCCCCGGGGGGCTCCTCACTGGCTGACCCCAGAGGGGTGCAGGCGCTGTGGGGCAGCCTCTCCAGGGCAGGGGGCAGGGTGGAGGAGAGTGGCGGTGGCCTGGAGGGCTGATGGAGACTAGCCCAGAGATGAGGCTCCTTCCTCTCAAAGACTGGTGGGGCAAGACAGGGTTTGAAGTACTGACTCAACTTGTGTAAGAGCCAGAGGAGCCCAGAGGGACGACTCAGCTGCCAGAGGCTCATCAGGCAGAGGAGAGGGAATGGCATCCCAGGAGCGGGGGAACAGCATGTGCGGGTGCAAAGAGGATAAAGAGCTTCTCCTGACGGGGAGACAGGAAGAGGGCTGTTGGGGGGGCTGGGCAGTATGTTGGGGTGAAGCTGGGAAGTTATCATTTAGAGCACCTGGATGACACCAGCTGCTTCTCTCAGAACAACGATGGAAGCAGCCCCTGTGTCCTTGGCTTCAGAATGAAGGCACCCACTGGACCAAGAGGGCCAATGAATACCCTTCTGTTGCTGATGTCTTCTCTTGGGACACAGCCCACCAGGTAGAAAGGCTCTTGATCTGTTGGCACCATGCACGCCGTTTGGGAGTAAACCAGCTTGGCACAGGGACCCGAGCCCTGGGTTAGTGTCTGTGTCTGTCAATCCACCAATTCTCTGGGCTCCTTCAGGAGGTGCTCCAGAGCACCCGCTGTGAGCCAGGACCTGGGCCAGGCGCTGGGGCCCAGAGAGGAGAGAGGCACAGACGGTGCCAGGATGGGGCTTGGCTCTGCCACTAGCTTTCCACAACCTCTCCAAG